AACAATATTATATAAATTATAACCTTCAGGAAGGGAGGATTGTTGTATTTGACTGCTTTAGTTTACATTGAAAAGTGAGTGTTACAAGATATAAAACTATAGATGAGGTGTATTTGTGCTAAACTTTTTTTTTTTTTTACCACTTGCCTGATTGGGCAGGTTAGTTGCTAGATTTACTAGCCTGAGGGAGCATTTTCCTTGCCCCAAGGGAGCCCCTGAACTGATCATCCACACATGATAAACCCCCCTGGCATCTTTTTAAGAATCAAGATTTTAAAATCAGCTGGGAATAATAGTTTCATATGTTTCCACAAAAGAGTTCAGTCATAAGAATTCCCCATCTCCCTCATTGAAGAATCCTGAATCTATTAACATAACATCCAAGTGAAATAACAATAACAATTTTGAGGGGGTGAAGACTTTAGTTAAATGGGATTATGGTATTTGTGTGCATTATTCATCTGGTCGTATAAGACTTCAGTCCTGGTAGCCTGGCACAGAACAATGCACAGTAATTGCTGTTTGCATGCTTCTCTTCACATAGTGCCAGTATAGGATCATACAAAGTCATGTTTATAGGGATTTACATGAGACTTATATCAGATTGTGGTCTTCAGTAGATTTATGAAAAATCCTGCAAAAGTATTAATTTAACTTAAGTCAGGGGTGCAAATATTTTTTGTTGGGCCTATAATCTGCTTTAAGGTGTGTTTAGGCCCATGTCTTTGCTCATCTTGTCCACCATTCAAACACACTCAGAAGCTGGGATGTTTGTCCTCTATCTTTTGTACCTGTGGACGCAGTGCTGCAAAGTGGAAAATATCTTTGTTGCTATGTTCTGTTGCGATAACACTGTGTCCTGAATATAAAACCGTTGAAGAAAACTTTGAATGCCAGTATTTTAACGAGTAGGCCTATATATATTTTTATTTCTTACTCATCTCTTTCCATCAACACAGGGATCGGCTCAAGTGTGTCTACCTCCTCCTCAACCACAACCATCATCAGCACTTGAAGACTGCACTGCTGATGGGAGGTCACCAACCGGTCATCTGTTCAGCCCAAATGCACTATCTGCCCTCCTGCCCTGTCTAAGATGGCTGCCTCTGGCCTTCTTCTGCATCCCAACAGACTGGAGCAGAGCTGCGTGTTACCATGGTGATCATTTTCTTGAAAACACTGGAAAAGAAGAAGGGTGTCAATGATGTAAGGTCCAAGAACACCGAGAGACGCCTGGTGAGAGAAACTTAACCTTTTTGAGTTTCACACAAAGCAAACCGGTTGTTAACTATTGTTGCAGTTAAGGATCTGCACAGTGGTTTGCATGTTAGGCAGTAGTCAGCAAAATGAATAGGTCAGTGATTATATTACATAAGTGCATGACCACATGCCGCAGATGCCACCTGTAGTCACGCATACTGACTTGCACAATGTGTGTAAGCATACCAGACCACAATATAGTAGCATGTTCATAGTGGTAGTGAGTATGTTATTTTATTATTTTTTTATGTCTTACCCCCAGCCAGATGAGAAGATCCACATAGATTACATCTTTGTGCATTCGGTACCAAGAGGTACGGGATGAAAAGATTTAAAGTAGGTGGGTTGGGTGGAAGGGGAAGTCAGCCTAACTCAGTCCAAAGGTTAAAACCAAAATTAATGTCAAAGCTAATGTTTTACAGCTTGTATGTTGTGTACTTAATAAAATGAAAGGAAAAAGAAAAGATATTGTTGAAGAAGGAGTAGTTGGCTTACACAAAATATTTCGCCAAACGCTAGGCTCACTGCACCTGACACCTCAGAAGTCTTTTCCAGTGGGGATGATAGGTTTGACAATGTTGACAAATTTGAATATTTTGGAGTACTTGAAAGGCCTTTTTTAAATATTTGACAGAAAGGTCTGTTCTGACTCAAGGTTTGAACTTAAATAGGCCAAATATGCAGACGAGAGACCTGCAGACGGTTGACAAATTAAAGAAAAAACCTGGAGAAATGAGGGAAGACTATCATATTTCCTTTTTCACCTCTACCTAAGTACTGAGAATTTCTGAAAATAAAATAAGGAGCATTACATTTTATTTGTATCTCTCCATTTAGACACCACAAGAAAGAGTTGTGCATGACTTGTAATCTGAGCAAAGCTTCTTCCTGTTGTTCTTGCCCTGCCTCTATCAAATCTTACATGTTATAATGATTCTGTCTCTAAAACCAATTCTTCAACCTCTCAAGCGGGGGTTTATCAGAAAACATTCTTTATCACAGATTAATATCATGATCAGTTTAGTTGTTTGTTTACCTAGCTTAATTTAATATTTTCACTCATCAGTCAACCAAGTTTCATTTAATCGTCTTCTGCAACATAAGAGCCTTTATTTCGAAATGTATGCCTTGTATCTTAGAAAACATTTTCTGTTGTGGTAATAACCTCAAGGTGAGTCAGAGCAATGTATTATGGCATTTTCCTTTTGTCTTTTGTGCAGACAGCCACCACCCTGTTGTAAGAAGTGAGCTGTGAGAGAGTAAAGGTGTCTTGATTCGAACATAGGCGTGGGTAGACAGAACTGCTTTATACTCCCTAAACCAAAAACAGATGTATGCAAACTTAAGTTAATATGGCTCTCTAAAATTATCATCCAGCATCGTCTCAAAATTACACTTCAGCCGTCTGATATGTAATTTAAGTCTGGCTTTGCAAGTGTAAAATAATCATTTGTGAAGAAATTATATAGTATATATATATATATATATATATATAAAGAAGACATATAAAGAAGACAGAGCTAACATAGGATAGCAGTTTCTGTTTTTAGCCTTTTGCTTAGCATAGTGGTGGAAGAAGTATTCAGTAAAAGTAGTAGCAGTAGCATAATATAAAAAATGTAACTTAAATTTGCAACAACTATTTTTTTTAATAAAATGTGATAACATAAACCTTTTGTTCTACAGAGTTTGTTTTTCTGCAACTGTCCAAAATCTTATTTTTGCTAAATTTAGGGCAGTGGTGGTCAAAAGTCCAATATGTTTCATTCAAATATAGTAGAGTGGATTTATAAATGGAAAGTGCAAGTACTATAGAATTGCACTTATGTAAATGTACTTGTTTATTCCAGGTTCCAGACCTATAGGGGTACTGAACGTGCAGAAATGAAATTGATGTCAATCTTTTCATTTGTTTGGGCTTTGAGGGCAAACACGATGAGGTTTTGTGTCTTACTTTTTTGTTTATTTTGTCTGCCTTTCTTCCACAGCGTGACCTCCACACCATGAGCAGAGGGACCACCCTCTTCTCCTGTGGAACTGTGGGTAAGTTATCTCCATTTACTATATGTCTTTCTGTTTGTCTTTCCTTCTTAGCTTCCTCTTTCATGCAATAAAAAAAGCATTCATTCAAGATCTGGACAGTATCAGTGGTTGAGGTGGGAGCCTTTATCATACCATAATTTCGCAAATGTCATAGCATAATTAATTGCCCCATTAATTCCTTGATAAGTTGAACCATCAAAGTTGGCGACCCCCCACTATAACCATCTCATTGTTTATCCCCTCTGTCTCACTCCGTCTCTCACTTCTCCCTTTCTCTGTCTGTCACTCATCCCCCTCTCATGATCAGGGTGCACCTGCCTCCACACAACGTTGCACACCACTCTCATGGGAGTGAACTGTAATTGAATATGCTGTTGCCTATGTCAACAATTTCCCTTCAGCTCTGTTAGTATTGCAGTAATTACCCCCGTGTTAAAAGACATGCTACTGTTAATACAAGCGCCCGCCATTTGTCACTATCCTCTTTTTCTTTTGCGGGGAGACGTGGTGACGTCGCAGGGAGGAACGTGGCTGGCGAGTTCCACTGTTAATGTTGACATTAACATTGTCTAGCATGTCTTGTTAGTTCAACCGACACTTTGTGTCTTACTTTCAAAGGGTGGCCTTTTGAAGTTCATCCCTTTCTCTCTTTGTATAGCTGTTTTCCTAACATTCCTGCCAGGTCGTCACTGTAGCCCCCGTACATTGTTTGTCCGCCCAAAACAATGATTTCCGTCCACCAGTCTGTGAGAGAGCATGCCAAAATTAGAGACAAGCATCCAAAGGACGGGATTTGGATCAGCAAGACGGCCCTTTGTGCCAACGGCGTCAATAGATTCACAACTTAACCACTTGGCTCGGTAGTTTGAGCCACTATGGCACTTTACTGTAGGTGTATTATCTCCCACAACTGTGTGATAGACTCTTTTGTGCGGATGGTGAGACAGCTGGCAAGTCGTACTGCTTTCCACAGCATATCCTGCTAACCACTTGACTAATGGGAGTGACTTCCCATCTGTTTCACTGGCTGATTCTTATCGTAATATGTAGTTCATGTTTTTGGAATCGTTCTTGCAGGTCCAGGTTTTAAATAGTAAGGAATGTAGATGTTGCTTGTTTGTCTGGATACCTAAAAACAGCATCTATAGCATTTAGTGGACTGATATACGGACTGAGGAACAGTCGGATACTCTTATTTTTTTGTATTTTGCCATTACAACTTACAGCTGAGGTTTTTCTGCATGTCCTTGAGCTGTTTATGGGAACAATAATGAGACATAACACATAGTAACCTTCTTGAGTCATACTGTCGGCCATTAAGGCATACAGTATATCATAATGAGCCAAATACCAAATTTGTAATAAAAAACATCTTCTTCAGACTTACAAAAAATGTATTCCTTATCATGCATTGAGAATTGAATCCACTGTGCTTACAGAAGATGGTGCTTGCGGTCAGTTTTGTTTTTGTTTTTCAGCTTTAAGTACAGATACACCTGTGCAGCACTGGTTTTGAACTGTGCAGCTGCAGTGTCATTTCCTCTATTCTTAAACCTGTCAATCATCTTAAGGTTAAAAATGTTTTTGTTTGATGCATATTTATCAGATTATTGTGTTTAGTGGTGTGTAACTGCCCTGAATGACCTTAAATGTATGTTCAGTTCTTCCCTACTGCAGTTACCATACAAATATATGATATCATCATAATCTCCCTTTTTTCTTCCAGACAGCTTGTTCTCACAGCAACTATTCCTTCTGGCTTCATTTCTGTTTATTTGTGCCTTTTGTGTCTGTGTGGTTAAGTATTAAAGGTTCCTTTTCAGATATTCCTGCTTTCCTCTAAGCTAGAATTCTTCATGCTGTAATTAGCATTACGCAAGTTTTGCGCATTATTACTTGTTTCGCCGATAGACTTATAAAATAGGCTGCTATCGAGGTCAGTGAGAGTGAATTTGTATGTTTTGAATTTTGCAGAGGCGGATAGGTGGCTGGACTTGGGGCAAAGCTGTGCCATCCAGCAGAGAACACCCTGCCAGTCTGGGGCCAGTCTGGAGAGTTTGTGGGATGTGATGCCTGACCCAGGGAACTGGCACTGGGCCAAGGAGCCAGGCAATGCCACAGCAATCACCAGTCTGATAAGAGATCTCAGCCTCGGCGACGGCAGCATAGCCACCCCTCACTCTCACACCACGTCCACCACTGCACACTACACCACTACAGCTACCAGCCAAGCCCCTACGGCACCCCCGAGCAAACGCCAGTGTCGCTCCCTGTCATTCTCCGACGAATTCAGTGGGTTCCGCTCATCTTGGAGGCCCCAAGGTTCCCGGGTGTGGACACCAGTGGAGAAACGAAGGTGCCACAGTGGAGGAAGTGTCCGAGGAGGAGGGGGTTTCTCCGGCAGCCATTTTCCTGCCGTGCAGCGTAGCTCCAGCTTTAGTTTGCCCTCGCGCTCCAGCATCCCTTCAGATGGAGCCCTGGACCTGCCATTCTTCAACCAGCGACTGCCTCTCCTCCCTCAATTCACAGCCTCTCCAGTCTCCCCTACATCTCCTTCCTTGCATCATCACCACTCCTGCCATCACCACTTCCTCAGGCCTCTCTCGCTCTCCCACGAGCAGATCAGCCTGCCAGAACTCCAGAGGGAAGAGGCGTCGGAGGCCAGCTCTCCAGACTCCACCCCAGAATTAGGGAGGCGAGCCAGCCAGAGAGCCGGGGGCACGGGGTGTCTGTCACGGAGCAGGTCCCAGCCTTGCGTGCTAAACGACAAAAAGATTGGTATGAAGCGTAGGAGACCAGAAGATGCCCAGGAGCAGCGGCCCTCCTTGGACCTGGCAAAGATGACTCAGGTTAGCTGGAAATGTTCAATGTTGACATGTATAGACAAGCACACACACTCGCATACATTTGAATGTGTGCAATTATAATTTTACTCATTTCACAGAGTTTAGTATCACTGTCGTTCACTGATTAAACATAAATCAACATCAGTTTATTTCTAATCTTGCTTTAATGCTGCAAAATGTCTCTATTGGATTTAGTTGGACCTGGACCAAACACACTTACCGAGCAGACAAATACCTCTTTGTTCTTAGACCAAGGGGAAGTTCAAGTGATCCTCAAACATAACTGGGTCTCTCTCTGAGTCTGATCAGGGACTGGATTAAATCAAGCTGAATTAAGTTTTCTGGGTCGTCAGTCCAAGGCTTCAGGGCTAAGTGATCTCAGGCCTCCCTCCAGCCCAGGGAGTGGTGCTTACTAAGGAAGCATTCCTCATGTTCGGTCACGCTGCCTACTGATACGCTCTAGCAAGCCCGACTCCGGTTTATCATTTCATTTACTGTGTTGGGTAAACAGCCCATCCAAAGATTGGACCCCTCACCTTTTCATTTACTTCCTCTCTGCAACTTCTTCCTCTCTGCAACCATCATTAAATCCCTTTACTGGTTGATCCGTTTCTTTTGGCCTCTGTCTACAATCAAACAGTTACCAGAGTAACCAAAGGTGATTAATAGTGGGGATATTTGGATGTACAGAACCCGGAAATGCTCTCCCCAGGACAAGAGTTTGTTTATTCTTTTGTAAGGTCAATGGAAGCATTGGAACAGCATTGGAGAGTATAAATGACCCCTGGTCAAACCCAAACCCAAAATAGAGCCGTGGAAGTATTTTAATGACATGTACTGTTTCGATGCTTGGCAGTGCTCTGATGTTTTTACAGAGCCCAGAAAAATCTTGATTTCATTCTTCACGTCACATTTGTCTTCATTATCCATTTGAATGCTCCTGAAATTCTGCATAGAAGAAATAGCACCAACAGCAGATGCTGCTACCAAACAAACCAACCTGTACTCTAACACAATGCAATGACTCAGAACTTTATTTAAAACATTCAAAATCTTCCTTAATCATACCTCCTGTCACAGAAATATTGTCCTTTTCCTGTTCTCTTATTAGAAAGTGCCATTAATTTATCCCTCCACCCTCCCTTCCTCTTCCCAAAGATTTGTGTTCCCAGCCAGTCACCCTCAGGACCTAGCCAGGGTTGGATAAACAAGGCTTTGGTAATGGAGCCTAGCGAGCGTGTTTCCTCTAGTCATGCCAGCAGCTAAGAGGGGGAAAATCAAGCACAATGATCACACATGTACGCACAGATACACAAACATACACACACACAGTCAATCTTTTACGTTACCTCTGGTTGCAGAAATGCTTGCAGGAGCAGACCTCAGCAGATGATTGCAGACGTAGTATCCTGTTCTCAGCAGTTAACAGGCTGAGGCATTGTTTTCAGTTCAGCTTTTTATTTTTATTTTTTCGTTTTTTTTAACCGACTTGCATGATTGCATGTTCTCAGCACCGTTGAAAGGAGTCAGGCCATGCAGGTTGGATGGGTAGATCTACTGTTGCTGTGTTTACTTTCTCACTTTCTTGTCTGGAGAGCGGAAAGTAAGTGGTTACACAAAACATACAGTATCATTTAGCACACATTTACTCTCTCACTTCTCTTTCTCTTCCTATGCTTCTCTGACTTGTTAGTATTTTTGTCAGTACACGCCCAAAGGTTGCATCTAGTGTACACACAACCTAAACAAGCTGGGTTGTACTATGTCAAGCTAAATGAAATAACCCCCAGAAGCACCCACTGAAGAGTCACTTGGTTGTCATAGGTTAACGAGGTGGTTTGTCTCGGTGTGGGCCAAGGGAAAGCTAGTAGCTGGCAAACTGTCTGGAAAAGGAAGTGATAATGTGGAAACGCGGGGCTAGTTTCAACCTACGTCTGTTCTAGTAAAGACAGAAGAATTACCGTCAGGGTTGAAAGCAGATGAGATTTTCACGCCTCTTGGGGGATTTAGATTATTTGCGAGATTTTTGGAAGAGATTGAAATGTCAGAATCACATCACATTTCTGGCATTTGTGACGATTTTACCTCAGCTGTTTTTCGGCAAACTTGATGTGTGAACTGACCACTGACAGTGTGTGTGATTAAGTGAAGCTCTTACTCCCTTTTCCCCTGGCTATGCACACATACTCCCACCCACTCTTTCCCAAGAAGTGGGTGGGTTTTCATCACAGCACTCTCAGGCTGAAAAGGCGTCCCACTCAGCCTTGCCTTAGGGTGTACATTAAGAGTTATTGCTTCTTCTCACACCTACACACACTTGCCACCACACTTCCTCCATTTTATAGGTGTATGGATGAGTAATAGAATCTTAAGTCCAGGTAAAGAAAAAAGAAAAGTAGTCTGTGTAGTTTGTGACACCCGAAGGAGCGTCTTGTCATCTTGGTTACAGTGTGCTGGAGGTTTGGGGGTTAAGGATTGTGAGGGTCAACACGTAACAAGTCCCCAGAGTGTGTTGTCAGTGGAACATGGTGTTATTTGGCCTCTAGATTCCTCAACAACGTCAATGAAGGCGGGTGTGAATTCTGGGGATGCATGTCATGCTAATCGGCTATAACTTGACTACCGTAGGGATTTACATGCGACCACCCCCAAAATTCCTTGAATATCCTCCCTGTCAGCCGCGTATATCAGCTCACTCCTCTGTCCACTGCCTCATTTTTATCCCTGGCTGCCCTTCTACCTTGGCCCTTCATTGTTTTTTCCTCAGCATAGTGGGCGTAGTGAGCTGTCAGATGGGGAATGTTATCTCTTGATTCTAGGTCACTTGCTGAATGATTGTTGACGCAGCTCACACTTTGCTTTTGAGGAAATGGCCAGTGTGAGGCCTGTCTGGCTGGTTGGGATTATTTTATTTGTGTGTCGTCCTCGTAGCCTTAGTTGAAGGCTTCAGTTGGGTTGCTGTACATTTTGAAGAAAAATTACAGGCTATCTTTGGCTTTGCTGTGTTTGCAGTATAGGTGGTAAAAGGGGGCGTGTTGAGCGAATGCTTGAATGTGTGTGTGTGTGTGTGTGTGTGTGTGTGCAGATGCCTGTGCATTCAGGGGAGAAATGGCAGGGCGAAGAAAGGGGGTATTATTTCTGCAGGGAAGCTGGCAGACAAACTCTTCACTCCTCTCTATTAATATCTTCTTGCTGGCCCAAGTTCGAGCTGCTCTGCTCTTCCCCTCCTCTCTCCATCTCTCTCCATTCCTGGGATGGCAGACATGGTGATCATAGTTGAGCGTCAAGCCCCGCGGGGTTATGGGAACACCTAGGTGGGCGTCTCGAGGTGCGGTGCTCGCCGTGTATGCAACGACATGTTGTGACTCGTCGCAGTGGAACTCTGTAAAGCATCAGTGTTCAGTCACACATATCACTTCGGTTCAACCTTCACTCCAACTTGACATATTTATCTTTTTTCATCTTACCTGTAGGCATTTGCTTATATCTGCCATGCATTCTCTCTGTGGTACAGTAAATACCAGACAAATACACAGACCAAAGCATTCAAACACAGGCCGCAACACAGATATGAGATGCAGAGGTGTGAAAGCATGTAGTCTGGCTGTCAGGAATGATTTAAGTTCTCCCGTCTTTGTTTGCACCCCTGCCCTCTCTTTTGTTTTAGAGTTGTTTGCTGTTGGAGGTCTGTTTGCCTGTCTTCCTCAGAGCAATGTGTCGCTGGATGTTGTTTTATGTGACCTAATTTCAGCACTTCAGCAGAGTCCAAAGAAATATACACATATTTTGAGTCAGTACATAGAGTGCATAGTAAGGTACCTACACTGTGTGTGTGTGTGTGTGTGTGTTTCTTGTCAAGTTCAGAGCATGGCGTTTGCCATATTACTTACCAGGGTGCTGTTATCAGGATATTTGCCTAACCTCTTGGCTTGTGCTTGTGCTTCTCCTACAACAGCTGCGTTTCAATTCAGATGTTGTACAGCATATCATTGCAGTGGAAGTTCTGGTTGTGTTGATGGTTTGCAATAAGGGATAATATCAGAATACCACTTATGTATGTGTATAAAATAGCATTTCGCTTATTTAAAAAATGGAAAAAGTAGGTTAGTACAGTTAAAATCTTAAATATTTTCATTATACCATAACCATTTTTAATACTATTTATGGCCAGCAGTTGGTAGTTTTGCATCACTACGCACCCATGCCAAACTGAAAACACCCCGAGTTTACACATGAGGTTTAGTTTACTCGCCATGAGGAGGACCACTCAGCCTGTGAAAACAGTAATATAATGTCCACTGAGGCTCTGGAGGAGCATTTTATGAGGAAGTTTAACAAAAAGCCTGCATTGTAAAAATAGATATGCTGAGATATGGGGTTTGAAATAAATGGGCAGAAGGTAGAACAGTTTAAAAGAAATGTAAGTCTGGGAAATGTAGTATCTAGTGTTTGTTTTTTACCTTAATATTTAATATTAATGACTAAAAGTTATGAGGTCTCTAGATTCACTCAATTTTGACCATTCTTTGTTAAATGTTTAATTGTGAGTCCCTAAACGTTGTGAAATTGTATTACTAAATTGCTTAAATCATACTCCTTGAAGGATTACAACTTTAACTCAGCAAATGATTAGATTAAGAAAATAACCTACTCAACTCCTGGTTATGGCAGTAGGTTAAGTTTGACATGACAGGATGAAGTTAGAGTGTATATGTGGTAATAGTGAATATGGGTTGGATATGTTCCATCTGTTCGAGGGTATGCTCAAGTGAGAGACAAAAGAAAAACACAGGCAAAGCTGGGTACACAACAGAAATCCAACCCCTGCTCCCCCAACCTACCACCACACCCACCCAAATCCCAGTCAGCCATGGTAGATTTTATAGAAAGCATATTGTGGAGAAGCTGCCTCTCCCCCTCCTTTCTCCCTGCCTTTCGTCTCCTCCTCTGCTGTGATAATTAGTAGTGGGGTAATACCGGGGGTTGAACAGAGAGAGCAAGGGCTCAGAAATCCCCTTTTCCACTCCGGTGGGGTAACTACAGCAAAGGCCTCCTACTCTTCGCATGAGCACCTCAAGCGTTTGCAGATGAAGTATCCTGAGTTTGAGCGGCTTACATGTAAAGTTAATCCAGCAAAAGAGAGCAAACCTTTTTACTCGGACAACCAAAATCTTACGTTATAGTTTCCTTTTGGACCGTGCTAAATCAGGGTAGGGAAAAAAATGAGCCAACTAAAGTGAGACTTAAGAAATGGGAGACTCCCAGTTCATTGTAACAGGAAAAGCAATGTCCTAACACACTGGGGAACATTAGAGGTGTCTGTCATGTAAGTTGAGGCTCTATAGAGAAAACCTCATCTCTATTCACCTCCATGCCTCCAACATCTGCTGCTGGGGCACTCCAGAGATCATTAACCCCTTCACTGCGCTGCACGGCTGCCTTTCTTTGTTGCAAAGAGGAATTCAGGGTGGAAAGAGAGCTTGAAAGCAAACCGGGAGACAACTTCTCAGTGAATGAAATCTCTTCAAGGTCAAGTGTTGAGAGCAAAAACACATGCAGTTGTTCACATGCAGATTCTCCCTGGCTCTCCCTACAGTGCACAACTACAAAACATCGTAACAACTGTGAACAACAATGGCTTAAACAAGAAATGTCCTCCACTTTACATGTTTGTGTTCCCAGTCAGGCTGTATGGGTTTCACACTGGCTTCCACATTGATAAATAGACCTGGAGCCCAGTTTGAAACAAGATACCTTTTGTGGTTTGCAACTCATCTAAATGTTTTTCTCAAACAACCCAGAAGGTTTAGAATTTGTGCACGTTCTTCCACGGCTTGTGTGTGTAATCGTGTTTACATGCTACATGCCGTCAATGAAAGGGAAGACCAGCTTTTGGCTTCCCAAACTGAAACCCAACCTCAAAGTGACATTCTGGAAAACCCGGCGCTCAAATTCCCCCTGACAAATGTCTTCTTCTGTAGCCTCATTAGCCATGTGAACACGACTTAAAGTTCACAAACCAATGTCTATTTTTCCTCTTTGTCTCCTCTATACAGAAACTTCAGACTTTTCAGAGCTTGAGCTGCCCTGGATTCTCTTCTACCAACGGCTGCCAATCAAGCCTGCCCCCTCCCACCTCTGAGACTTTCATCCAACCAGATTCGGACTTCACTGCCATGCCCGAGATGGGACTGGAGTCACGGAAGGAAGTGGCAAAAGATGAGGAGGAAGAGGATTCATCCTACGAGGAGCTGGATAGCGACTCTGCTTGTAGCGTGGACTCGCGGCCCGGGTCTCCTGTAGGCATCGTGGGTGGTAAACACACCCTCTGGAAGGGTGATTGCGGGACACAGAGGGACATTTTCCAGCTCGGGGGAGAGCTGGATCTTGACCAGATTGAGAGAAACTGAACATTTTATAGGAGATAATAAAAAGACCGTGTCTGGACTGATGTAGGAAGTTATTGGACATTGATGATGTACCAAGAGAGGACTATTAAGAAGGGCTGTGAGAAAGAGTGAAGGATGTTTTTGTCAATTTCTAAAGGGAAAGATGAGGAAGATGTTATAGATGATAAAGGGTTAAGTATGTTGTTAACGGCTGGCTTCTTAATGACACATTTGGCTTGAACATTCTTACTGTTTGAATCAAAAAGCAGTGACCTTAGTTGTTTTATTGGGTATTCAGCTTAACTCAGGAGTAGGAAAGTGAGGGTTAGTCTTAAAAGCCCCCACTGTCTTTTCAACCTGATGACCTTTCCAAAGTCAGCTAACCATAGATTTGTAGCTCTGTAGCAGTACCTGGGCTTTCCTGTATTAAGCCCGAGTTTTTTTTTTGTTGTTGTTTTTTTTCTCAGAGAAAGTGGGGGTGTCAATGATGGGGTGAAACAGGGAGGGGTAAACAACAGGAAGAAGTATCTTCTCGCAGACTTACCCATGACCTTTCTCCTCAATCTTTAGTGCACACATTAAATCTGATTTTTGTTTTTGTGCTGAATGTAGGCTCAATAAGCTTTATGAGGAGTTCGGAAAACGACAGTGCCTTCTTTTGGATGCTTGTTCCCGCTGTTCTCTTCAAGAAACTAGCCTCAATCGAAGCCAACTTTCCGGACCTTTTTGTAGTTTCTTAATATGCAAATTGTATATTTGAATTCAACACTGAATCTCAAGCTTTCAGTTCTAATATCAATGTATATTTTTCTAAGTGACTGTTTTTTATGAGCTGTTTGCGAAAAGAGAAAGAAGGTCTTTCTTCTAACAGAATGGACATGAAATAAATTTACAACCTGCACTCATATGTCTGGTTTAATTTCAGCTTATTAATAAATGCTCGAGATTGCTGTGGAAGATTTTCACTTTGACAGATCAAAGGTCTGAATAAGCTGCAAAGTTTCCAGATACTCTTCAGAAGCTGTGCTTGCTCCCCCACACTCACTTCCTGCATCACATTTCAGAACCATTTGTAATGAAACTCACTCATTCAAACTTCATTGTTTTGAATATCCATAGATGCGATTATTTTGATGTCCTTTGTGGAGCAAATTAATTTGCTATTTTCTTTTCACAGTACCTCAACTTTTTACAGCTCTTGATGAATACATCAGGTTAGGTAAACATCTGTGTAGTGCCCTTATGTTGCCTATCAGCCCCAAACAGAATGGCAGGAAGTCTAGACGTGGAATATCCCTGGCCGGCAGTGACTGGAGGAGGTGATGTCAGGAGAAAATGTCCCAGGACCTGCAAGGCAGACAGACAGATAGACACGTCGGCCGGGCGAGTTTGTTCCTCCCTGGGATTTCCTATCATGTGTCTCTCATGTCTGTCCAAGTCGCTGAACCAAACTCAAAGCACCTGCCACCTTTTTTTAATAAGCCTTACTTATTGAAGGGCCTTGCTCTTTAAACCGCATTAAATGCTTGTGACATCATTATTATTGGCCACCAGGGAGGCCGATCGCTGAAATAAAGTGATAGGACAGACTGTTTTTCCGACACAGGGAGGAAAGCCCTGCCTGCATAACAGTGTTTACGTCCAAAACAGGATGTTCTAGCCAGTTGCAGCTTTTCCTTCGATCATGGCCTTGAAGGAAGGTGAACTCCGAAATCTCAACTCTGAGGTGTTGGCTTACACAAACACACACCCAAACACGTACAGCACTCATTCAAAGGCCATGAAATAGATACGGAGTGTGCAAGGCGTGTTTGCACAGAAAACCTGTCACCTGGCCCGGAAAACTATATAAGTGGTCACTTTTCCTTTTTTTTTTCTGTTTCCCAATGGGTGAGAGTTTGTCTCTAGATGTTGCACAAACAGGGATGAGTTCATGAAAAGAAGGACAGACGGCTAAGATTTAGAGGATGGAAAATGAAAACGGGCGTAAGCTGGTAAAAGGCCCAGACATCTGTTCACACCTCGCTTTTTTAACACAAAAGCCTGGAAACACAAAATCCCGTTGCCATCAACAGTATTCTGGTTTCTCACTGCTCCCAAAGGTCAGTGAACCACACACACAGACAAACAGACACACATGCGCGTTTCCTCTCTGGCAGGAAGTGGCAGGCTAAGCGGGGGAGAGAGTTAATATCTGCGGTAAAAGCGCTATAAATAGGAAGCATTGTAGTTGTGGCTGGCAAATGTAGACATTGGAGAGAGGGAGACAGGAAAGGCCAAGTTACACAAATTTACAGCGCTCTGGACTGCGCCGCCTCGATTACATGTGAGAAAACATTGGCTGCGATTTCAAAGAAAGCTCTGTTTTACGCTGTCAGCGAGATCACTTGAACTATCCTTTGAGAATTTCAGAGGAGGTCAGAATAATGACATCATCTTTTCATCAGGCTTTTAAGGCGTAATCTGGTGTTTACGTCTGGCTGAGTGAGAATCATGCTTGCATCTTAGCTTTAGTAGAGTGTGTCTTTACTGATACGTTTGAGGCATCTAAGCCTCCTCTTCTCCTTATGGTAGTACTTATTTGCGTATTATTGTTTGGGGGAACAGTTGCTATATTATAGTGCAGATGGGTAGTCAAAAATGGAACCGAAAAACAGAACAACAGGGTAAACAACATCGTACTGTATATACTGAAGTGAGAATAAGAAGAGCAGAAAAAGAAAGCAAAGAGCCAAAGAAACACTAAAACTACAAAGACAAACAAATGGCTAATAAGATGTAAAAGCAAGATAATTGCAATAATTTAATATAGTAACTTATGTAGTAAGTTTTGTTTCTGAGTATCAATACTAATCTTAATGAGATCCTTTACCATAAAATGTATCTGTCTCATGTTAGATGATGCTGATTTACATAAACACTGTTTTTAGTACATGCACCATTACCTCATGTGTGCAACGATTAAACTGTGTTGGGTTTTAACATGCTTATGATTAAAGGAGCAATATGTAAGAATTTACTTTCAAACATTTCAAAACATTCAAACATTAACTAAAATTATCAACAGAATGTGAAGAAATAACTACTTTGATGTTATGTAAAAGATGTCTATGTATTGTGTTGCAGCTATATCTACTGAAGTTAGCATGCTAACCAGCTAACTATGCCCCCCTTTGTCTCATAGATACGTCAAGAGGCCATAGGGTGTCACTGTAGTGTCTACTCTGCTCTGCAGTCCAACATGTAAGACAACAAGAAGTCGTTCTGCCCAGAGGGCAAGAAATCAGCTTGGCTGGCAAAGAAAGAATTCAAATAGAAGCAAAATAAGAGATGTAATCTCTTTTATTTGTGGTTGCTCTCCTCTGCTGGAGACAGCTCTTGGCGAGTAAAGGGGATGAAGGGATAAAGGGATGAAGTCTGGAAGACTGGTAAGTAAATGACTGTTAATGCTAAATACATTGGCTATTTAGCAATATCTTATAAAGGTAGCTAGCTCGTTGACAGATAGGAAGGGCTGTGCATTTCCTGGTTTCTTATGATAGAGATGGACACCTCAACATTCTGGTGATATGCTGCCCCAAGTTTGATGGGAGTATGCATTCAACAGGTGGTCAGTAATCCGAGAATGTTAGAGAGTTATACACTGTGTATACAGCTTTTTACACAGATGTGATTGAAATATAATATTGCACAGGTTACAGCAAGAGGTAGTGGCATGGTGTAAAAATAAAGAATTGCACCGGAAACAGTATATGCACAGCAGAATGACACATGCACCTCATCAATCATGACTTTCTTCTACATGATAACAGCTGCTTTTAATAATAAAAAAAGCAATGCTATTTGTAATGATATTGATTACACAAAAAGCAATAAAAGTCCTGTCCAAGCATTACTTCTTCGTTTAGGATTCAGGAGACAAAAAGGCTTGGAACTGCTCCTCCCGTTTACTGAACATACATTTTGTGCTTTAGGTTGGCCTACTTAATGTTCCTGTGCAGGACATCAGCGTTTATCTGGGTTTACATGTGTACTTGTAAGCGTGTACGTGTGTTAGCAGACACCTATCGTAGTTAGACAGGTGGCTGGCAGTGTCACATGTCACTGATTGACTACTGCTCCACTCAAAGGTGACAGAGTGCAACCCAACACCTTGTCACCATGGTTGCCATGAATGCTGTGCCCTTCCCTCCACCTCTGCATGTCAGTGTGATTTACATCTACATAATATGCTGTAATTACTGGTTTAGTTGTATGCCAGCCACCCAGGAATACCTGGAAATCCCTGTAGTGTGAGCTTTTTTTTTTTTCTTTAAATATTCCTGACATTACAAAAGTAAGTCACTGTTAAGGCCACTATGCTCCCTGCTGTGATGGGAGAAAGGCTCTCATGAAGATTTATTCTTGCAGAAATTAGACATGAAATCCTATAATGAGTTGAAATCTCACTGGACGTTTTCAATTAGCCTCCTGGGTTCAAAAACAATAAACAGGTCGAGTTAATACATTTGTTTAATGGCGTGAATAAGGATACGTATTAGTCATCTGATTTTTCTCCTTCAGCAGCCAATAACTTGGCCAATAGAACATCTGCCATAAACACCAAACATTTGCTTGAGAGGGTTGTTATTTGGCAGATATTTTCCATCAGCATTCATTACTGTTCTTATGATACAAAATGTCTCTACAGAGAGAGCAGTCTTTTCCTGGCAGCTGTCAGTTAGAGGAAGAGAGAGTGAGATAGTGATGGGCAGCTGATAGGCACCACCTGAACAGTACATGTTGTTGACTTGACCGAGATAAACCCTGGAAAACCCAGAATTCAGGTTGTAACACGGCTCGTAAATCTCACTCAGTTTATGGGGAGCAGATGGCAACATTGTTCAGTGTTGATGTGCTTTGTGGTAAACACAGCAACTCATTCAAATCAAGTGTTTCTCCAAGGACTGATGCTGCCAGCCTTCTCCTATTACCAGAAAAAGGAGTGCCATCGGACCACAGAGTATTTGACAACACATATGCTGCCAAGCATTTATTCCATTTTGGAAATGTGTTGCCATGCCACCCAAACATTTCCCATTCTGCACGTGCTGCAACTGAGTACGTGTATTATAGAAAATGAGAGAGAGGAAAGTGGGAGATGAGCAGTTTAAAGGACACGTGCTGAGAGAGAGGAAACACATGGTCGTTTTTTTGTTTTTTTTTCCTGAATCCTTTTTCTTTTGTGAGCAAAAGGTAGTACACATGGGAGACTGGCTGTTGACTTGCTATATACACAATGATGACTGAGTGCCAAACAATGGGCGACTGAAATAGACATATTGTTGCAATGACTGTGCTACTCTATCCATCACACCAGTCACATCTGGGTCGACTAGTGCTGCCTGAAGCGCCTTCCTCCTGGTCTGAATCCAGACTGGCTGCTTCTCATGAATTATGATATAATATTTCGGATGTTTTAAGACTAAACATCAACTGTGTAGTAAGTCAATATCTGCAGAAAATAATGACCGGCTCCTGAGGGAAAAACTAACAGAGCTATTCTGGGACAACTATGGCATTAGTTTGTGTGCCAGTACCTAATTGCCCTTACACAACAAACTTAATATGTATGTAGCAACTCAAATAACCCTTCCCATAAAATTGCAATACACATAGTGTTAAATCCCTGGATCATGTAAAAGAAGAGTAAACAGATCTCTAGCACTGTATGAAAACCTTGACTTATAATCTGGCTTCAGGTCCGTTGCCCTGTCAGTTTAAATCGCTGATGTTTGTTTTCCAGCTCCAACTTTTAAATGGGAGTCTCAAAGCAGACAGGGTTGAGTCAGGACACTGTAATCCCACTGAAATCAACGATTACTCAGAGACCATCAGAAACAACTTCAGGATTGAGAAAGCAACT